ACTAAACCTCCATCTAGGGAGGTGATGAAGCTCTACCTTGTAAGCATGTCTAGTTTTTGATTTATTTTGGGGAATGAAATATATATTTGGCTAGTTCCATGGTCTAGAGCATGTTACAAATTGTAATGAAGATTTTGAATATTTGAATGACTATGTTGATTTACATACTCTTGTCTTAGATTATTTCATCTCATAGTTGTATGGCTTATAGTTTCATAGTGACAATGGAACTAAGATTATGGAACGGTTTTAATGGCATGGTTTTGAGTAGCTTGTTAATCCATAGCTTAAGAATTTCTTTTGATGAGTTAATCTTGTGACTTGATATCATGTGCTTCCACCAATTGATTAATTGTTTGACAATCTCTAGCTTAGTGAGCATGTCTAGGGTTGCATCTTAGTTTAGGTAACTCAACCATGTGAAGCTTTGATAGGTTGTTCTTACTCTTGAATTAATTGAATTTCTTGAAGATATTATAGTAGTCATGTATTATTATATATCAAGGTCATTTCTACATTAACTCCCCAAATTAATCATATAATTAGCTTGTGTAGAGGTTTGGAGTGGACTCACTTCCCTAGACTTCCTTCTCTAAATCTTCTCTTTTAATCTCCTTCAATTTATTGTTTTATGCATTCTGAATTTGTAATTTAGTGACAAACAAAACAAACCCTCTATGAACACCCCTTATCACTCTAAAATGACTCTAGACACTTAGGTTGCCATAGATTAGCGCAGTCCCAGTGGTTCGACTTACCCGACCAATAGCCTTATTTTACAATGATTCGTGCTATTGTGAAGGTTGATGTATAGTTAATCAACCGATCACTGCCCCTTCCTTTTGAATTTCATTTCCATGAGGATTCAATTTCCTTTCTCATAACTAAATCCCTATTTTATAGGAACTTAATTATGTCACCTTAGCCAACTTCTCCCAATGTTCTATTTCTAATGAAATTTCCTTTTGAAATTAACACAAGTCTCGGTTGTTTAGTAACAACCCTTTTGGTGAGGTGGCTGAATATATAGATATCTTCCTAAATCTTCTCCTACTATTTCTCCATTGGCCGACCATTCTTGGACATGCTTAACACTTATTGGCTTCCCATTGGTCCACGTCGCTACTGAAGTGGCTGTCAAGTTTTGGCGCCAACAAATGCCCCCTGAATTTCAAATGCTTTTATCACTTATGATACGAAGCGTTTGGAATTTGAATCGGCCTAAAATTGTAATTCAAATTTTGGTAATAAATTCTCTTTCCAACCACCTGCTTTAATGGTTATCTTTCCCAATTAAAGCGGTGACTACATTAATCCGCTATTACATCCCGCAAGTATTTAGCTTGATGCTCTCTAATCCCTAAAATCATTCTTCTTCCCTTAAACTTTCTATCTCTGAAATTCTTTCTCGGCAAAATCGTTCCTGACGTCTTCTATGGCTCCTAAGAAAACTAAATCAACTGATTCCACCTCTATCCCTCAACCTTCCGATCCTTCAACCCATGGCAACATCATAGAAAAATCCCTAAAAACTCTATCTCCTTACAAATACTGTCTCAATACCCTTATCGATCTTCGTACTGACTTCAAAGGCTTAAGTCCTGCTTTCCTTGACGAAGCTCCTTCATCAATCTCACCTTTCTATCCTTCGGCCGACGTTCTTCCATTCCTTCAAACCTTCCCTCCTAATGAAAATGGCAGTTTGCCACACTTTCATTTTAGAACATAGCATATTCCAAATGATGCTTGGATCAATTGGGTCGACCGGGTTGGAGCTGTGAAGGGAGAAGTATGGAAGGATTGTGGCATATATGATGCCATTCAGCTAAGTAAAACTAACATCGCCCAAGACAGGGCCTTGATGACAGCAGCCATGTTTAATTGGTCGACCACCACCAACTCCTTACACTTGAAGTGTGGCATGATGGCTCCAACCATTCAAGACGTGTGCTATCTAACCGGCCTCAAACCCTTTGGGATTGATGTAAATACCTTGTTGGTAGAGGAGGATTCTCCTTTCATCTTCCCTTCAAAGCAAACTGGAACCAAGTCATCTGAATCCTCTTATGGCAAGTACTTAACTTCCACCATGGATCCTCACGTCCCTGTGAATGATGCTGAACATATTGCCTTTTTGTTGGCCTGGCTGAACAAGTTTCTTTTATGTGTACCGGCCTTTCAAGTCACAAAGGATTTCATTCATGTGGCCGTTGCCCTTTCAAGAGGTAAACACCTTGCTCTTGCTCCCTTGGTGCTTTCCCATTTATATAGAGGGATTTATGACTTGCTTACCTCCAACTTCGGACGCTATGGTGGTCCCCTCTGGTTATTTCAAATTTGGCTTCAAGTGTACTTTCCTGAGTTCGGACCTGTGGTGAGGCCTTCGGCCAATGACCCATTACTTTCTGTAAGTTACGCATCGGCCGTACCTAAATCCCATTCGTTTGGAGATTGCTTCAATTTCTTTTACTCCGGTTGTGAACAGAGGACTATCAGCTAATTCCTTCCATTTTCTCATTGCTCACAAGCACCTCGATGGCTGACTCCTCCTCAAGGAGTGTCTACCAAAAAATCAGCTGATAAGCATTCGGCCATGTGGGCTAGTTTCTTACTTTCAAGAGACCTTCACTTCAACACTGGCCCTCTAGGCACAGTAAACTCAAAAGTTGGAGTTGAGTTCTACAATCCAAACCAACTTGCTAGGCAATTTGGTTAGACTCAAATGATCCCCATGCCCCCTTATTTCTCTTTCAACAAAAACTTCCATAGGCGTGTGGTATTTCCAGATGACTCCTGTGTAAAGAACGTGTCCTCCCAGTTCTCAAATCTGCAAACCGGATTCCAATTCCAACCCTTCATCAAGAACCCAGCCTCAGATTCTAGTTTTGATCAATGGTGGTCTTCTTACATTACTTCTACAAGGACGGCTGATAGCCAGTCACTTGTTGTTAAAATATTAGAATCTTTCAAGTTCATATCTGTGGCCTTTGAAGGGGCATTCGTAATTTCCCGGGCCGTTACCCCAAAGAAGGTGCCTCAAAAGGATCCTCCCAAAGGTAAAAAACAAACGGTCAAGAAACTCCCTTTCTCTCAGCCAACAAATACTCCAACAAGGATCAATAAAGAGAGAAAAGCTAAGGCCAAAGCCACTGCCAGCCTTCTCAAAGGTACAATCTTCCTTTACTTGCATATATATATATATTTTTAAAAGAACTTTTAATTGAATTTCTCTTACACCTTTTTTTTTTTTTTTTTTACAGATTCAGACAGTGGAACTTTATCAGCCTCGCCTAATCCAGAGAACGTTGAGCCCCAAGATGATGAAATTTCCTCAAGCCAACCTCCTCAGCCTACAACAACTGAATCAGTCGTCATCCCTGATGTTCCTCCAGTCCCTCCAAAGGTAAAAGTTTTTATCCATTAACATACGAAGATAATCATATCGGCCCTATTATTAAAATACTTGGCCAATATTGATTTCTAATTCTTGGCCACAACTATTATTGGCCGAGACAAACTTTAATAAAGCTTCCATCTCCAGGGAAAAAGAAAGAAATCAACTGCTCATGGTACTTTAAAAAAGACAAGATTGAGCAAAAGTAAGAAACATGAAGTAGAAGAAAATCTAGAAAGCCCTCATCCTACAGAAGACGTGGCCGATGATCCTATAATTAATGTGGCTGACGATCCTTCTGATCATTCCTCAGATGAAAAAGAGGTAAAGATAACTGTACTTGAACTTTCCAAACTTTTCAATTAATAACATCCTTAATCTCTTCTCTTTTGCAGCAATCTCCTCTTCTTGACTTGGTCTATAGTCCGATTAGAAATTTCAGCCCTCTGAAGGATTTTCATGATCCTATTGAGGTGCCCTTCAATGTTCAAGTCACTCCTGCTAAAACTTCATCCCAGGGAGATAGCACAGCGGTTCAGCCAGAATTTCCTCCTCCAGTAACTAGTCATCAGCCACTCTTGGTGACAGACATGGCCGAATCATCCAAGGTATTGACTATCTCATAACCCCAAAAATTTTAAGATCTAATCTTTCCTCATTTTGTCAGGTTATGTATGAGAAAACTCAAATTGTTCCTTTATTTCCTCCACAAAAAGCTCCTGCTTCATTTCTATTGGCCTTGAGCAATTTCTTTAAGGATGTGGTAGCTTCAGTGACCGAAGAGAAAGAAAGTGAATTTTCTGGAGCCACTCCAGTCACTTCAGCCAATATCCCTATACAATCCTTAGAAAAAACCAAAAAATCTTTACTTAAGATCTTGAAAAGAGATGCTGCTGATCTTCCTCAATTTGAAAGTGAGCTCACAGCAATGCTTTCTACACTCAGCCAGTACCCAGACTTTCCGGTTGATCTTCAAGCCAATATTGCTACCTTTAAAGGCCAACTACCAACTCTGACCGATGATATTTTCCAGGCCAATGAAGCAATCAACCAATTCAACAAAAGTAAGAACAGGAAGGATACCCTTGCTAACCAATTGTTAACTCAAGCTTCCTCCTTTGAAAGAGTGAATACAGAGTTCATCGGCCTTGAGGAAAGAGAACATGTCCTTTAGAAAGAGATCGACCAGATCCATGCTCGTAAGGCCATCTTGTCTGCTGAAGCTGCCACATTGCAGTTTGAAGCTCAAGACCTTGCTCACGAGCATGCAAATCTTCGTGGAGAATTACCTCAGTTGGAAGAGTCAAAGAGGCAGGCCATGGTGGCCTTCAATCGGTCCTTAGTTATTTAGGCCGATTTCAAGGAAAAATTTGCAAGCATATGAATCTTTTTATATTAGCTTCCTTTTGTGGCCATCTTAGTGTATGATCTTTAAATGATGTAATCTTTTACACTTCAATGAACAAATGGCCTATTTTGTTACTCCAAACAAGTATCAACATTTTAGCAAGAAAAATTTTATTAAAATAACCAAATCAGCCTAGAAAAATAGACCGAATTTTATTACATAAAGGTACACATGGTCAGCCATAAGTACTGGCTAACACTAATTTTCCCTTTCAAAGATTGCCGGTACGTACCTCTTGAGGTACTTGCCATTAATGGGATAGTCATGTAATCGGCCACTGAAATACTTCAGCCTATATGCTCCTCCACTTAAGACTTGATGGATTAAGTATGGCCCGCCCCATTTTTGGGACCACTTCCCATATTTCCTATCGACTTTACCCACTGGCAAAATAACTCTCCAAACCAAATCTTCTTCAGCAAAAGACTTAGGTTTTACCCTCTTGTTGTAGATCCTCATCTCCTTCTTCTTGTGAGCTATGATATGATCCAAAGCATCCCTTCTAACTTCATCCAAATCTTCCAATTCTACCAACATTGCTTGAGTATAATCAGCTGGAGTTAGATTATTTTGAAAAGCAACTCTGGCTGATTTAACCTTCATTTCCATATCATGACCATAAGTTAACATGTATGGTGTAACTCCTGTGCCTGTTCTTTTTGAGTTCCTATAGGCCCATAAAGCTTCAGACAAAGTCTCATGCCACCTTCTTGGCTTATCTTTGATCATTTTTTCAATGATCTCTATTAAAATTTTGTTTGAAGATTCGGCCTGGCCATTTGCTTGAGCATAGTATGGCGTAAAGGCTGACATATGAATATTCATGTTGTGGCCGAATTGTAGTACATCAGTTGCCCTAAATACTGTTGCATTGTCTGAAACAAGTGTTTTTGGAATCCCGAATCTGTGGATGATGTTTTGTTCCATGAAATTAATCACTGTTTGCTGATCAACCGCTTTGCAAGCCTTGGCCTCAACCCATTTAGTAAAATAATCTGTGGCAACAATCACCCAGTGATGGCCTTCGCTTGATGGTGGATTAATTTTACCAATAAGGTCAAGGCCCCAACCTCTGAATGGCCAAAGTTTAATTATTGGCTGTAATTCTTTTGCTAGTACATTTTGAATCGGCTCGTGTCTTTGACAAGCTTAACAACCTTTTGAGTAATCTATGCAATCTTTCCTCATCCTCGGCCAATAATATCCATACCTGCGAATCAGCCATCTCATTTTAATCCCAGCTTGGTGAGCCCCACAGCTGCCCTCATGTACCTCGGCCATAACCTGAAGTGATTCCTCCTTACTTATGCATTGTAGTAGGAGCCCATCTTCTAACCCTTTTCTGTATAGATCCCCATCTAGAAGCACAAAGTTGATCACTTTTCTTTTAATACTTCTATCAGCCTTGATGTTTGGATTTCGAAGAAACATTATAAATGGTATCCTCCAGTCATCGTCGACCAAATCTTCTACATCAATTGTCCAAGTATCAAACAACATAGTATTTCTCAATTCGGCCGATGGCAAAGATCTTCGTGTTATCTTTATCAACTGATCTTCTATTCCGGCTGGTACTCTTATTCCAGAGGCTGCTTGGGCCATGTTGTTGGCCTCCTTATTCTGCCCTCTGGGCCAGAACTTAAGTTGAACATTATCAAATTGATTGATTAATGAAGTGGCCAGAGAATGAAACGGCCTTAATTGCCAACTTAGGCACTTAAAATCTTCAGAAATTTGGCTAAGGACTAAGTTTGAATCTCCCAAAATCTTTACATTTCTAACAGCCATTTTAATTAAAATCTCCAGGCCGATTATAAGCGCTTCATATTCTGCACGATTATTTGAACATTTAAAATCTAAAAAGAAAGAGAATGAAGCCTTTCTGCGAGCTGACGAAATAATAATAATACCTACTCCTGCTCCATCAGCCGTGCTTGATCCATCAAACATCAAGATCCAAGGAGTTAAGAATATAGCTGATGACTCCAATTCATCATAAACCCATGGATCAATATCAGTTGAAGGATGATCGGCCAAAAAATCAGCCAGAACCCTTCCTTTTACTGATTTTTGTGGGACGTAGATAAAATTGAATTACATCAAAGCCAAAGCCCACTTACCTATTCAGCCAGTGATCAATGGCGTTGATAGCATATACTTGATCACGTTAGTCTGACAAAGAATGTAAACATTAACAGGCCGCATGTATACTCTCAACTTCATGGCCGAATAGTACAAAGATAAACAAAGCTTCTCAATTGAGGAATATCTGCATTCTACATCAGTTAGTACTCTACTCAGGTAGTAGACAGCCGGCTCCTTTCCATGTTCATTGTCTTGTGCGAGCATACTACCAATTGATTCTTCTGCGACCGATAAATAAAGCTTTAACGGCCACTTCTTTCTTGGAGGCATTACAACCGGGGGGTTTGCCAAATACTCTTTTATTTTGTCAAAGGCCTTCTGATGGGATTCGTCCCAATGAAATTTCTCATGTGACTTTAATTTCACTAAAGTCGAAAAGACATGCACTCGGCCAGCATGGTTAGAAATAGATCTTCTAAGAAAACCTACCTGGCCGAGGAACCTTTGCACTTGTTTTTTGTTGGCTGGGGCCCTAGCATTTATAATAGCTTTGACCTTGTTCTGATCAACTTCAATACCTCGTTTGTGTACCAAGAACCCCAAGAAATTCCCGGCTGAAACTCCAAATGCACACTTCAATGGGTTCATTTTCAATTTGTGAATCCTCATCCTTTCAAAGGCCCTTTTCAAGTGTTCCAAATGCTGTCTCTTGGCCGATGATTTCACAACTACATCATCTATATAAATTTCCATGAATCGGCCAATCATATCTGAAAGATAGAATTCATTGCCCTTTGATAAGTAACCCCAGCATTTTTTAGGCCAAATGACATCACAATCCACTCAAAAGTACCAATTGACCCAGGACATCTAAAAGCCGTTTTATGAATATCTTCCTCGGCTAAATAGATTTGATTATAACCTGAATGGCCGTCCATAAAAGACAATATTTCATGCTTAGCGGCCGAATCAATAAGTTGATCGACCACAGGCATTGGATATTCATCTTTTGGAGTGGCATTATTTAAATTGCGAAAATCCACACAAACTCTAAGTTTGCCATTCTTCTTCATTACCGAAACAACATTAGACAGCCATTCAACATACCTATCTGTTCGAATAAATCCTGCCTTAAGAAGTCTCTCAATTTCTTCTTTAATTTTGAGCATTACTTCCGAAGACATCCTTCTTGGTGGTTGTTTATATGGCCGAAAATCTTTCTTGATCGGTAATCTATGTTCTAACAATTTTCTAGACAGGCCAGGCATCTCTTCATAACTCCAAGCAAAGCAATCCTTATATTCATTTAATAATTTAATCAAATCGGCCTGAAATTTAGGCTCAAGCAAAGCACTAACAAATAATGACCGATTATCTTTTTTAGTACCAACATTTATTTCCAATAAAGGATCTTGCACCTCTGCTTTATTATCTTCCATCCTGGAAGGGGCTGACTCTAAATCTTCAAGTTGGATTGCATCCAGCTTTTCGAAACCTTCTTCAATTATATCGGCCGTGCTGGCCGATACCTCTTCATATAGCTGTTCTTCTCTGGCCAATCTCTTCTCAGCCAGATATACTTTCAGTCTTATGCAAACGGCCCTGAAAGCTTGCCGCTTCTTTTCTTCATTGGTTTTGTGATCCATCAGTAACATCTTCAATGTCCTTGATGGTCGACCTGAAAATATCAATTTTCGGCCGAGCTGCTTCTGACAATAATTCTTTAATATCAGCATTAATTAAATTCTTCTTCATTGTTGCCGCTGCTGGTCGTCCCATCCTGTTAATGCCAACAAATTTGATAGGTACAACAGTTTCATCATAAAGTGCAGCCTCAGCCGAATACACCCTAACTATAAAGGGTTTGTTATCGGCCTCAACAATTTTTACCTCATTTCCATCCCAAAAAATCAACATTTGATGCAAGGTTGATAGGATGCACATGTTAGGATGAATCCAATCTCGGCCTAAAAGGAGATTATAGGCCGCAGTTGAATCAATGATAAAGAAAGCCGTAAAGGATGTCTTACCGCCAATAGTAATTTCCAAAGGTAGAATACCTTTAATGTTACTAGATCCTCCATTAAAACCACTGATGGCCACGTCGGTTGGAACTACATCGTCCATGGTTTTACCCAATTTCTTCAAAGTAGTTGTTGGAATGACATTCACCACCGAACCATTGTCAACCAAAACCCTATTGATTGGCTGACCTCAACCCATACTTTAACATACAACGGCCTCAACTGATGTGTCATGGACAAAGGTGGTTTTTCGAAAATGATTTTATCGGCCTTAGATGGCTGATCCTGAGAGATCAATCTTATCCCGGCCGATAAACTTGTCGAATCGTTCTTAATTTCTGAAGATTCAGCCTTTTCCTCCTGCTTGGCTGACTCAACATCCCTGTCCATCGTTGGTTCTATCCTTGCTTCAAACACAGAAGGCAAAACAAATACCATGTTACAATTTACCTCATCCGGGAGAGAACCAAAACGAATTCTGTACTTCGCCGCATGCTTTGGATCCTGGTCTGGCTGATCATCTTTTTCTTCATAAAAGCATGCCTTATTCTCAAAGGATGTAGCGACCTCCATGTCTTCAGCCACCACTGGTTCATTTTTTCTTTCTAGTTGATCATGGTCGATCTTGTCTTCTTTCCTTTTGAGTTCTGCATTTTTTCTTTGCATCCTCCTTTTTTGAGTACGTGTAAGAGGTTGCTTAGGAAACTTTGGGTGACTTACTCGAGTCCATCTGCCATGGTCAACCAAAGGAGGTCTAAACGTTCTTACACGGCTAGATTCTTCTCCTTTTTGAACCCATATTTCTGACTGAATTGTTGGTTTCCTTTTGAAACTAGGATAAAAATGTTATTCTGGCAGGACTCTATCGGCCACCGATGACCGAATGATTCTCACTGCCCTCGGCCCATTTTCTCTAAATATTGATCGATTGATTTCTTCGTGATTCTGTCTAGGCTGATGGCCTACCCTTTCATGGACACTGCGCTTTCTGGTTGATTGGAAATAGCCTTTCATGGACACTGCGCTTTCTGGTTGATTGGAAATAGCCCCTTTTGTCTGAGTCATTCCTTCGGCCTTTGCAATTTGGACAACAACCATGGTTGATGAGGGCAATTTGAGCTTCTCTTAACTGAATTTCCAAGTCCTTAACTTTCTGCTCATCATTACTGGCCGATCAACTACCAAGAACTTTTGGTAATCTTCCCTGTCTACCATTATCAGCGGCTTTTTCAGTTGCCAGGCTGATTACATTGGTACTGACAATATTAGGAAATGGACCGCCATCGAACCCCATTACATCTGGCTTCTTTTCAGGGAATTTCAATACACCTTCATCGATAGATTTTTGCAATACATTTCTAAATACATAACAATTGTTAGTAGTATGATTCCATGAATTATGAAATTTGCAGAACTCTCTTCTTTTTAAATCATTGGTCGATGGTATATTGTGTCCTTTTGGCAAAACGATTTGTTTGTCGACCAACAAATGATCAAAAATTTGTTCTGTTTTGGCCAGATTAAACGTATAAACCTTACCAGTATCAGCCGTACCCTTCCTGGCCAATGAAGTCGATGGCTGAGTACCACTGGTGGATACATGTGGTTTTGTTAAAGCGTCACATACATAAGGCTTCTTTAGAATGACTTCGGCTAAATTAGCTTCAAAATCTTCCTCTTCAACCACATCAGTTGAATAAACTTCATAGTTGGGGTCCCTATAGTACGTACCTTTAGAGGAATTTTTTCGTTCTTTCTCCTCTTTGAGAACCAACTCATACCTGGTAGCTTTCTCGGCCAGGTCATACATGTCACGAAATGGAACTCCTTCAAACCTCTTCCGAAGTTCAAAATCAAGGCCGTTCAAAGCCAAACGAATGTACTCCTGTTCTGGAAGAGGTACACGACATCTTAATCTTGTTCTCCTGAATCTTGCAATGAATATCTCGACCGATTCACTAGGCAATTGACTTAGCTTGGATAAATCGGCCAGAGTAGGTTCTGTCTCCGTACTGTAGAACTGATTGTGGAATAATTCCTCCATCTGTGGCCAATTAAAAACAGAGTTAGGAGGTAGACGAATATACCATGAAAAAGCTGCCTCTGTCAAAGAGTTAGGAAAAAGTCTCAATTTCAACCACGGGCTAACACTGGCCTCTCCACATTGAACCGTGAATCGGCCAATGTGTTCCACGGTCGATTGATTCCCCTCTCCACTAAAGGTTACAAGGTCAGGGACTTTATATCCTCTAGGGAACTCAACTTGGTCTACCACTTCTGGATAAGGAGTTTTATAAATTGGTCGGCCGGCACCTCTAAGTTCCAGGCCATATTCTTCTGTGAGTAAATCAGCTAATTATCTTCTATCTAACATGACTTGAGGTGGCTGATTTAATATTGGTGGTACCTGATTAAAAACTGGCGGCTGATTAGCCGCTGGTTGATAGCAATTCGGCCAATCATGTGACTGATTAGCCATATTCTGCCCCCCGAGCCCTACTTGTGGCGGCACATGAGTATACAGTGGGTTCGGTGGCCTCCACCTGATCTGATTGCCCCCCGAGTTCAAAGGCATCCGAGAAGGGTTTGGTGGAATTACCTGTGGCCGCGAACCTGCTACTGGTGGCTGATTAGAACCTGCCAACGTAGGCTGAGGATAGCTTTCTGCCCAGGTGAGTAGCGTATGAACCGGCTGACTTGATGTTGCACCTGGTTGGAGTGTCACTACTGGCGGCCATGGCTGTGATGTTTCAATGGCCCTCTCTGGCCGAGCAGCTTGTGATAAATTCGGCTGAGAAGCCGATTCCTGATTGTTGGAGCTGCTAGCTTGAGTCGGCTTGTTCAAAATAAAGGCTGAGAGTTGGGACATATTTTCATGCAAGTCATTGTAGCGTGTTCCCATCCTTCCCATTGCATCTACCAAGGAGCTAACCTGTGCTTGAAGTACAGCTAACTCATCAGTAGGACCTGCTGCAGAGTTCTTAGCCTGTACTGGCTGATCGCCTTCCTCCAAATCTTCATCAGTAGCCACGGCCTTAGAATTTTTTGTGGGCCGCGGCATATTTGCCTCTTTTATAACACTCTAGTAGTGGTCCCACCGGGCGTGCCAAAACGTGTTCGCGCGGTTTTTGTTCCCTACGCCGGTCGATGGACTCTTCGTGGGCGTGCCAGAGTATTTGTACAAAATACCAAAATATGTAATTGAACACCAGCCTATCCCTTTTTCCGATGGCCGACTCTCAGGCGATTGTGTGGGAGAGAGACTAGTAAGAACTCCCAGCAAGGTTCTTTTATGCCTTGTTTGTAGCAAGGACTTTTTAGAGTGTCTAAAGAAATGCAACGGCTGATGAATGTTTGAATGGATGGAATGGCCGAGTGAAGACAGGCGGCAAGAACTTAATCGATCGCCGGCCGAACGTGATGGCGAGAACTTAATCAATCGCCATGAGCCAAACACAATGGCAAGAATTTAATCGATCGCCACCAGCCAAACACAATGGCAAGAATTTAATCGATCGCCACTGAAATGTGATAGCAAGAATTTAATCAATTGCCGTCAGCCAAGTAATGACAAGAATTTAATCAATTGTCACTACGATTCAATGGCAAGAATTTAATCAATTGCCATTGAATTGAAAGCCTAACTAAAATTGCGTAATTAAAATTGGCATAATTGAAATTGAAAGAAAGTAAATGGCTGAATCGAAATAGTTGACGAGGATCTAATCAATTGCCATTAAATTGAAATAAAGAAATTGATAGGAAAATGACGTAGAGTCAATTGAAAACATTTTTAGTTGAAATGCATGTTTTGTGGTGGTGCTGGACAAGTTAGAAATGGAATACAATACTTCTATTTATAGAAGTTCTAAAACCAACTAATTTCTAATTATTTCTTGCTAAAATCTCTCTTGCTTCGATCATTTTCTTTTGAAATTCAAACTGAGCTACGGCCCAACATTCCTCGCCTTCAATATCGATGCTCCAGTTTCAATGGGAAAGTCTTTACTGAAATCTCTCTTTTCCTTGATTTGCTTTACTTTGTTGCTGAAAATAGGTCGTACTCCAGTAGTCTTTCACGTCTCTTCTCCTCTTGTTTCGTCTTGCTTCAAATAGAATACCTTTGTTGAAGAAAATATTGATTGCTAAGAAGTCGGTAGAAAGCTGCTGAAAGATTGCTAGTAAGTTGCTGATTTTTAACAACTTCTTTCTTCAAGCTTGACGAAAATATTTCCCTTAAATGGCTGGAAGACCATTTATAGCCTTAACCCATACACTAACGTGGCTGCCCCTTCCTTTTGAATTTCATTTCCATAAGGATTCAATTTCCTTTCTCATAACTAAATCCCTATTTTATAGGAACTTAATTATGTCACCTTAGCCAACTTCTCCCAATGTTCTATTTCTAATGAAATTTCCTTTTGAAATTAACACAAGTCTCGGTTGTTTAGTAACAACCCTTTTGGTGAGGTGGCTGAATATATAGATATCTTCCTAAATCTTCTCCTACTATTTCTCCATTGGTCGACCATTCTTGGACATGCTTAACACTTATTGGCTTCCCATTGGTCCACGTCGCTGCTGAAGTGGCTGTCAAGTTTTGGTGCCAACATATATATACAAATATAATATATATATAGAGAGAAAAGACTGTGGAAAATGACCACTAGACAATTGACAATCACTCATTCCATTTATGTACTTATATTTAATACTCGTTTTTATCGTAGATCATGTTGGCACTACACTTTTTCACAGTTATCCTTCACTTATTTTTTTATTTTTTATTCTAAAAAAATGACAAGAAAATTCCTAAACTCTGTATTGCATTATTTTTTTATTTTATAATTTCATAACTACCCTTTATATAATTTTAATTTTTTTAAAAAAATTATATTTTAGTGACCATTTCTAAACTAAATTACTCAAAAATGAACTTAAAATATAGAAAAGATGAATTTAAAACTCAATTGCAGAATAGTGTAGTGATCGTTCCCATTTATTCTCCAAGTTACCCTTTTAAATTTTATATTCTCTAGAACTCTTCAACAATAGACTCTGATTCATCGTCAGAAAACAGACCCACATCATAACATCAATATCAGCCCTACCAAGACCTCCACATCCTAATCTAAAGCTTCCCCACCACCTCCCAATACCTATTCCCCATTGTACAATGCCGCTGGTGGAGTGAAAACCTCACGTATTACACCGATTCTAGCCACCTCGTTGGCACGATTGTCAGTGCCGCCAAAGGATCCATGGAGGTTGGGCCTCATGGCGGTTGAGACAAGTGAGACCCTCAAGCACCACATCAATTGTGATACCCCCAATTTCGCTTAATAATAAACGAACACAGAATATAAAAGGAATAAATAATAAAATAAATAATATTACTTTAAAAAAAGACTAAATAATAATTAAATAAATCATCTTATACCAATCTCGGAATAAATCCGATAAATCCCCAAACGTAATAATCCTCCATAATACAACTCGAAAATATATCCGTATCATGGACCCCTAACAAAATAATCTCAAAACTGACATAATAAAGATAAATGTCTAAATCATGAATAATGAAGACATGAAGTAGAATCCTACGTCACCGGAAGAGTGATGAAGAATAGTCTCTGAACTGCATGTAACTTTTCACTTCAGTTGCAGTAAATTTCTGCATAATGTATTTGGCTAAAATTTCAAAACTCTCCCCAATTTTCACATACTCAGAAAGCTCGTTTCTCTAGAATCAATGTATTCGAGGCTCGGGCATTACCCTGATTGCATTCATTAACATTCACATTCATTTCATTGACTTTGCATTTTATTTTCTGTGAACGGCCGGCCAATAGAATAGTGTTAGGCTTCTGAAGTTTGGGTTGTTTCTTGAACCAGCATAAACAAACTATTACCTCACATAGGCCAATCCATTGAAACTTTGTTTTTGTTAATTTTTCATACAATAATTCTCTCCACATTAGTTTATGTTAATTTTGTTCACAATTCTCTATATTGGTTTCATTTTAAAATTCTCTAATGTTATGACGAGAGCAAATAATCTGATTGACATTTTCAAGTTCTACCTCTTTTTGGTAGACGTTGATGATTTCTTCATAATTGTTAATTATGGGCAATTTTAGTTCCGGTAGATGCAACTGCGACCCGTTCTTTGATTTCTCCCTAATCTATTTAGGTTTACTATTGTATATAATAAAATGAAAGCAGGCTTTGTTTAAGTTCCCTGATTTCTTCCTAATTGATTAAATTCAGTCTTCTAGTTGACTCGTATTTTGCTTGACCTGCGGACTTGTGGAATAACTTGGTTCAACTAGATAGTACCCATTTTGGGAACGTCCAGTGCCAAAGTCACGGAATGGGTATAAGTTTTTACCGTATCTAACTCCAAATGTGGCTCTCTCACGAGTCTCTGCCTTTTTATATCAAATCATCGCTCTACTCTCCCACTATAAGAGAGTGAACCAGTTACATGAAACCCAAACAAAACTAGGCAGGATGACATCTAGATGGTGCTATATTTTTCGTACTCATATCCGCTTTCTTTCTTTGTTTCCATTGAAGATCACATCATGTTCAGCTAGAGCAGAAGCACTTCTCTAATGGAAGAACAACTTATCTTCATCTTCTTCCCTCGATTCATGGTCAGTTGGCAATGTCATAAACATTTGCAACTGGCCTGGCATTGTCTGTGACACTACTGGAATTGTATCCGAGATAAACCTCTGTGTTGCACATATCACTGGAACACTTAACCAATTTAGTTTCACTTCTTTTCCAAATCTCAACCATTTTGACCTCAGTTTCAACACCCTCAGTGGGCCAATTCCACCTACCATTGGCAATCTCTCCAAACTCACTTTCTTGGACCTGGGTGACAACTACTTGTATCACATCATACCATCGGAGATTGGATTGTTGACGAAGCTAAGGTACCTCAGTTCTTAAACCTTGCATCTAACTTGTTAGAAACTCCAGACTGGTCAAAATTCTCAGCTATGCCCTCGTTGACATATCTTAGCTTTTCTGTAAATCGACTTACCTTGGAATTCCCAGATTTCAAATCTAGTTGCAAGAACTTGATACAACTCAGGTTGGCTCAAAATAATTTCACTGGCATAATACCTGAATGGGTGTGCGAGCTTGAAATTCTTGGTCTCGGCATAAATTCTTTTCCTGGGCCACTGCTATTGAATTTTTTGAAGCTTTCCAAGCTAAAATTCTGTTACTAGAGAAGAATAATTTCACAGGCCCAATTACTTCTGAGCTTGGCCTATGTACTGATCTCACCATCTTGGATCTGAGCTACAATTCATTGGCTGGGGCCTTGCCTTTGTCATTGTCCAATCTCACCGTGATATCTGAATTGAGTGTTTCCACCAATTTTCTTTCTGGCGAGATCTCTTCTTTTCTCTTCACTAATTGGACTGAGTTGACATGGTTGGAACTTCAAGAGAATCTGTTCACTGGGAAAATCCCACCAGAAATCGGCTTATTGACAAGGTTACTCTACCTTAAGCTGTATAATAATCAGCTTTCTGGCTTCATCCCGTCTGAGATTGGAAACTTGACACACTTGCTGCAACTGGACCTTTCAATAAATCAGCTCACAGGTCCAATCCTTCCAACAATTGGGAATTTAGCATTTCTGCTTAGTCTTAATCTTAGTACTAACCAATTGAATGGAGAGTTGCCTGATACCATGTCTAAACTCAATATTCAATACGATCTTAGCAGCAACAAATTTTCCTGTCAACTTTCATCCAAGTGGGCAGAATGTGCAAATCTCACATTCTTACAACTGGCTGGAAATAAAATTTCGGGTGAAATCCCAGCACAGCTAGGAAGCTTGACTCGATTGCTCGCTCTAAGCTCACTGCCCAAACATTTGATAAGAGATCAAAATGGTACCTCTGAAACATATATCTACTAATAGAATTAGAAAAAGAATATTAAGGAAGTGGACATAGCTGAAGAAAAACACACAACGAAATGACAAACAATGAAAAAGGAACATGCTTAAAAAATAATAATTATAGTATGAACACATAAGAAAAACAAAAGTTCTAACTTTTATATATTAACGAAGCAATATTCATTTACATTTTTCTCATAAAAAACATATTATATTATGTATAATCCAAGTCTTTTAATTGATTATTCATTACTTTTAATTGGGAAATGAGAACTATCAAGTGTGTACATCCCAAAAATGCCATTGATGGAAGGGCGAAGACTGGAACCCACATAGATTTTGAGCACATAAATCACATATTTCGATAGAATCCACATATAGCCAACAAGAACAAAATATAAAATAATAATAATAATAACAGAGGGGAGTCCAACAATACAAAGAATCTCAAGTCCGAAATACTATAAATCATAATACTGAGTATCAAAATTAGTTTAAATCTTTTAGTGGTTTGATTTATTCTATGAATAAAATCAATAGTAATTTCTTAAATTTTGATTAAATTGTATCATAATAACAAAGTAAATTAATATTATAAATTTAGAAACTTCTGATATTTAAGGGCAGGGTTGAAGAGCACGAAAATGGAACATGAAGAAGGAAGGGTATTTTGGACATTAAAGTTAAATAGTCACTCATTAGCAATTATTTTCCAAGTTTGGTCACTGTAAAGCAAAAATTTTCAATTTTGGTCACTAAAATATAAATTTCCCAAAATATAATGTAAATTGGATCATAAAGACTTAAGAAATTAACCCTAGACTCAGGGTTAAAGCATTCAAAATTATACATAACTTATTACTACCAAAAATTCTTATCTAAGCAATAGCCATGCACTCTCACCTTAGTGGCTTTATTAGTTTCAGAGGTAATACCCCCTTCCTATTGTTGGGGCATTGCCTTTGTCGTCGTCCAATCTGACCATGATATCTGAATTGAGTGTTTCCACCAATTTCTTTCTGACGAGATCTCTTCTTTTCTCTTCACTAACTGGACTGAGTTGACATGGTTGGAACTTCAAGAGAATCTATTCACTGGGAAATCCCACCAGAAATTGGCTTATCAACAAGGTTACTCTACCTTAAGCTGTATAATAATCAGCTTTCTGGCTTCATCCCGTCTGAGACTGGAAACTTGACACACTTGCTGCAACTGGACCTTTCAATAAATCAGCTCACATGTCCAATCCTTCCAACAATTGGGAATTTAGCATTTCTGCTTTAGTCTTAATCTTAGTACTAACCAATTGAATGGAAAGTTGCCTGATACCATGTCTAAACTCAATATTCAATACGATCTTAGCAGCAACAAATTTTCCTGTCAACTTTCATCCAAGTGGGCAGAATGTGCAAATCTCACATTCTTACAACTGGCTGGAAGCTTGACTCGATTGCTCGCTCTAAGCTCACTGCCCAAACATTTGAATGGAGAAATACCATCTGCCATCTGCAACTTGAGTTCTCTTAGACGTCTTGATCTGTCCAATAACAGCTTGAGCAATGTAATTCCACAATGTTTGGTCAGTGAGCTCGTATTGCTAGATTTGCGAATGAATCACTTTCATGGTTCAATTCCAGCCAATTTCTCAAAGCACAACAATTTGAGGAGTCTCGGCTTGAATAGTAATCAATTAGAAGGGTTGGTTCCACGGGTACGGGAACACTCATCTCTTAACGGGGTAAGTATGAATTGTGAAATTAAAATCCGTTGTGAATATGGAGTGGGTATGAATTTGTCCATACTTAACCGGGACGGGTACGAATTTAAACAAACCCGCTCCATACCCGTCCCGTTGCCATTCCTCATTATAATTCACGTAACACGTTACAAGTCTCCAATGAAATGCTCGAATTCCTAATTATAGTAGGTCGGTGATGCAATTGGGATGGTATGGTATATCATATATGTCATTTACACTCACTAAGTTACTTTATCACATAATATGAGGAAAATAAATATTCAATTTGATGTTAGTTGCTGAATTATAGATATAAAATGTTGTGAAAATACATATTCTATGGAAGTGGAGGGAAAGCCTTACATTCATAACTTGTAATAGACCCTACAATTTCATACGTTAAAAAGTAATTATTGAAATATTAGGCGATTAAACTGGGAAATAGGTTGGTAATGTCCAATGGATTTTGAAGCCAATCTGTAGTGAAACTATAGATAAGGACTATGAAAACAAAGAAATTCATAAAATTATAAATAATTATTATTTAAATGTACTTCATGCCTGTATGGCTACATTCATGATATAAAGAACTTCATATATGGATACCGCAGTGACTACATAGAGAGAGATCAGAGATTACGGCTTTTCCACTTGAGCATATTTTAAGGAAGCCCATCTCTGTTCCAAAATCTCATATGAAAGAACTAAGGCTCCGTTTGTTTGGACGTAAAATATTTTTTAGAAAATATTTTTTTATTTTTTGGTGTTTGGTTGTCGTAAAATATTTACAAAGAAAAAAAAATATTAAAATTTAATAAATATAACTTATCCATCAATTTTCGGCAAGTTATTTTACATGCCCCGCCCGTAGACTCCACCTCAACCTCAACGTAGACCTTTGCCAAACACCAAAAAAGTAAAAATAAAACAATATTTTACTTGAAAAAGAAAAATATTTTCCAAAAAGAATATTTTACGTCGGAACAAAAAATTGGAATAATAATCCCCAATCCCAAAGTTATAATGTATAACCCTGAATAACTTAACATCAGACAATACTATATCAGGAATTTAAATAGCAAAATTGCTTATTTAAAACAAGACAACCCCATGGATAGTGTTTATTCAATCAACGCCCCCAAGCCAAATAACTAGCTTGATAGTCAGGCCTCAGAATGCTAAAAGTGAAGGACGAAATGATTATAACTTGACGCCTAGACAAATGAAAAACTTATGGGAATCAAAAAAGAAATGGCATCGCCCGGACTTGAACAGGAGACCTTCAGTGTGTTAGACTGACATGATAAACAACTATACCACGACACCTTGATATCTACATTTTCAGAAATTACATCTTATAAAGTGGTTGTAATATGAATGTTTCTAGCCTATTTAGGTTAATAAGATGAGTATTTTTGCATGAATAGAAAAATTCATGTACCATTCATGAACAGCACATTGGTTGCAACTCTATCTGCTGCCATAGACTGCACCACCCTGATGTCGCTCGTCTCAGCCTGCGCAGCCTTTGTCACGTATGGTATACCAGACCCTTTTCCTGGATCACCATTATTTTATTTGTGAATGTCTGATTACTCTTTCTGATTTTTAAATTATCCATTACTGCCTCAATGTGTGTGTGTGTGTGTCTCTCTCTCTATATATATATATATTGTTTTTCTATAAGCTTAATTCAACTTTGTAGTCTTTAGAGAAACCTACTCAGAAAGGTATATGGGAACTTGCAGGAGACTTTTGGTGGCAGAGTTTATTACATTTCAGATCAAGATCTACTACATAATCCTAGGATGTGTTTGGTTGGTTGTGATTTGAATTAGTTGAATTTCAATTCTTTGGCATTCAGAAACTCTTAAAACTAGTGCTTTGGTGCAGGGCCGGCCCGAGATTGAAAAAATCTCAAGAGGCCCCAGGTGAACTTTAATGTGAGGCCCTTTATGCATAAAGTTTCACACGCACAAAAATAAATGTCTATTTTTTGAATCCTTAGGAAAATTTTCAAGTTTAGCATCTCTTGGAGGACCTCTTTCAACTAATAAATCTCTCAGTTTTTAATCAATATTTTTCCAATTTCCTGGATCATTAATGTTCAAAGGAAGATTATCATTCTCATTCATATATTCTTCATTTACCAAATCTTCAAGTTCATTCACATTTTCTCATTTTGATTCTCATTCCTATCTCCATTCATTAAATCTCCATGTTCATTAAGATTTTCTTCATTCCTTTTATCTCTCCATGTGTTACACTACCCGATTGCTCCATTTTAAACAAGGAACGCATATATAGTGGAGAAATGCAAGTGAAGCTACATCCAAAGTGAAAATGTCCCAAAGGGTTCTTTCATTTCTCTTCCTCTTCTTTCTTTTCCTTCTCCTCTCCTTCTGTGTTTTGTACAGAATTGAATCAAGTGATCATGGTGAGTACCTAAGAATCTTAACTATGGGTAGAATTATGAAAACAGAGACAGTGACATGCCCAAAGCCACACTTTGTTCTAGGTGTGTTTGAGTAGATCAAATTAAATGTTTTGTGATTAGATTCTCCAACTCCTCTTCCAAACTTGCCTGAAATGCCCTCATAATCACATCAAAAACCTCATAGTCAAAACTATCATTACATTGCAACTCTAAAATCTAAAGTGCCAGTTGAAAACTTGGGCTACTTAGGTGATTGCAACTCAAAAGTCTAAAGTATAGCAAAACCACCACTAGATCGAGATGGCAAAACATCCCTCCCCGTGTACCTGGCCCATCTCATTTAAAATGATTTTTGACTTGAATGGATTTTAGGAATGAAAACTGAGGGAAAAGGTCAACACGTCCCATTTATGTTGAAAATTTATCATTTTACCCTTAATATACATATATGTAGGGATTGCAATTTGTCCCGCGGGAACGAGTACCCGCCCCACCCCGCCCCGTTTATAGCGATTTTGGGGAACCGTTGAATTTATATGGGCGATGATGGTTTTTATTAGTGAAAACCCGTGCGGGTTTGGAGCGGGGGAGGTCACCCCGCCCCGCCCTATTTAGGTAGGTAAATTACTAAATTACCCTTATTTTATTAGTATATGTATAGTTAACTCTAGAAACCCTAGGTTAGATTCACTCACTTTCCCAGTAGTTTTAGAGACCAACAGAGCCCTATGAACTAAGAACGTCCATACCCTTGAATTTTATGTTAAATTATTGATTGTCCATTTTTTTATGAATTTCTTCAATAGTTATATAATTGTATTCGTAGAAAAAAAATTAAAAATGAGGAAGAAATTCTGGAATTAAACTGGGTGGGGCGGGTGCCCACAAGGGTAAAAAAGTTAAACATGGATGAGGATGGGGTGGAAAGGCCCCCCGTTTAGGCGGTTTTGGGCGGGGATGGGGTGGGGGTTTCTAAACGGTTGCAGAAAGGGAAGGGTACACCGGCCCAAAACCGCCCACGTTGCCATCCTTACATATATGCTTAAAAATCCTAATATCCGGATTACTCAAATCATTAGATGAAATAAAATTTGGATACTTTTTTTAATATCTTGAAAACTTCTAAACTTATCAATGTTAATGTTAATTGGTTAATTTGATTTGAAAGAATGTTTATTTGATGCGTATTCTTAAATACAAACTTTTAAAACTTGAGTGAAAAAATTAGGGGAAAAAATTGAGTGGGAGTTTAAATGAAGCAAAGCAAGAGAATTTATATAGGGGGCAACCGCAGGGTGGGAGGGGTTTTGCTAAATGGTTTTGGATGGGGGCGGGAAAACTTAAACAAGGGCAAGGATGGGAGGCCACCCGGTTATCATCTCTAATGGTTGCCTAAGGCCCTAACCAAGAAGAAAGGAATGCAAAATTTATTTGAAGAAAATAAAGACACCAAAAAAAAAAAATTAAATAAAGAAGAAGAGTAAGAAAGAAAAAAAATAAATAGATAGATTTTTTTAAAAACAAATAATTTTAGAGGCGGCACTATATAATATTATACAAATTATATGCATAGTATACAAAAAAAAATAAAAAATCAATTGCCCAAACCGAACCGTCCATGAAAAATACACTAGTAGAATAAAGAATACTAGTATGTAAAGTGTGCATTTTTTTTTGATAAGTCAGTATGTAAAGTGTGCATGAAGTTCTCGTAAGGGCAAAGTGGTGAAGTGGGTGTCAATGGTGTGTTATTTGTCAAGAATATATGTCTATATATGTATGAGAAGTGTGTGGCTAGTTAAAAAGTGGCCTTGAGCAGGCGCATGAAACTTGGGCCTTGGAATTGACACCAAAGCACCAGTTTTAAGAGTTTCTGAATGCCAAAGAATTGAAATTCAACTAATTCAAATCACAACCAACCAAACACAGCCTAGGATTATGTAGATCTTGATCTGAAATGTAATAAATGAGAGAGGATTTGAAGTTACTTTCTTCTTTTCCATAATGGAATAAACGAAAACTCCCAACAAAAACCAAAGAAACCAAACTCTGCCACCAAAAGTACTCCTGCAAGTTCCCATATACCTTTCTGAGTAGGTTTCTCAAAATACTACAAAGTTGAATTAAGCTTATAGAAAAAACAATATATATATATATATATATATATATATACACATAGACACACATTGAGGCAGTAATGGATGATTTAAAAATCAGAAAGAGTAATCAGACATTCACAAATAACTAGGAGAAATCATTTACTTCTAGCGTATGTCTATGAATAGATATATATGTCATTGTAAAAAACAAGAACAATGTGATCAAAGAGATACAGTAGACAAAACTGTGACATATAATAATGTAATATTGGTGCTTTTTGCTAGGATTTAAAGACAAAAACAGTGCTTGTGTGACCTACAAGGATTAATTTTGCTAGGCGATTCGCCGATTACTAAGGCCTGTTTGGCAACCGTCTCTATTTCTACTTCGTGTTTTTTGCTTGTACAAGATTGACTTCTACAATAGGAAGGGGGTATTACCTCTGAAACTAATAAAGCCACTAAGGTGAGAATGCATGGCTATTGCTTAGATAAGAATTTTTGGTACTAATAAGTTCTGTATAATTTTGAAAGCTTTAACCCTGAGTCTAGGGTTAATTTCTTAAGTATTTATGATCCAATTTACATTATATTTTGGGAAAATTATATTTCAGTGACCAAAATTGAAAAATTTTGCTTTACAGTGACCAAACTTGGAAAATAATTGCTAATGAGTGACTATTTAACTTTAATGTCCAAAATACCCTTCCTTCTATTCAGAGATTGATGTTCCTTTTTCGTGTTCTTCAACCCTGCCCTTAATTATCAAAAGTTTCAAAATTATAATATTAATTTATTTTGTTATTATGATATAATTTAATCAAAATTTAAGAAATTACTATTGATTTTATTCATCAATTAAATCAAACCACTAATAGATTTAAATTAATTTTGATACTCAGTATTATGATTTGTAGTATTTCGAACTTTAGATTCTTTGTATTATTGGACTCCTTTCTGCTATTATTATTATTATTATTATTTTATATTTTGTTCTTGGTGGCTATATGTGGATTCTATCGAAATATGTGATTTATATGCTCAAAATCTATGTGGGTTCAAGTCTTAGCCCTTCCATCAATGGCATTTTTGTGATGTACACACTTGATAGTTCTCATTTCCCAATTAAAAGACTTGGATTATACATAATATAACAAGAGTTAAATAATATGTTTTTTATGAGAAAAATGTAAATGAATATTGCTTCGTTAATATATAAAAGTTATAACTTTTGTTTTTCTTATGTGTTCATAATATTATTATTTTAAAACATGTTCTTTTTTCATTGTTTTGTCATTTCGTTAGGTGTTTTTCTTCAGCTCTGTCCACTTCCTTAATATTCTTTTTCTAATTCTATTAGTAGATATATGTTTCAGAGGTACCATTTTCATCTCTGATCTTATTTTCAATGGAAAAATTTTTATACAGATGAAAGATGATTATAAAGAATTCATTGAAGAAAAATTGAATGCGTAGATAAATATTTTTTGCTTAATCAAAGATGAGAGTGCACTTATACAACATATGGAGGATTTCTATTATATTACGCTATTGGAGATATTGATAGTACATGGTTCATTGCCTTTCCAAACTGTTGCAAGATTACAAACCAGTGAAGAAAGTAGCATTTCAGTCAATTAAGAAGTCATATCCACAATTTACAATAGGTTTTGTAGATTAAAAACAATGTTGTCCATCCTCAATTGCAAGATCATGTCCAGTTTGATAATTTTAAAATGATTATTATTTATAATTTTATGAACTTCTTTGTTTTCACAGTCTTTATCTATAGTTTCACTACAGATTGGCTTCAAAATCCATTGGACATTACCAACCTATTTCCCAGTTTAATCGACTAATATTTCAATAATAACTTTTTAACTTATGAAATTGTAGGGTTATTACAAGTTATGAATGCAAGGCTTTCCCTCCACTTCCATAGAATATGTATTTTCACAACATTTTATATCTATAATTCAGCAACTAACATCAAATTGTATATTTATTTTCCTCATATTATGTGATAAAGTAACTTAGTGAGTGTAAATGACATATATGATATACCATACCATCCCAATTGCATCACCGACCTACTATAATTAGGAATTCGAGCAATTCATTGGAGACTTGTAACGCGATACGTGAATTATAATTAGGAATGGCAACGGGACGGGTATGGAGCGGGTTTGTTTAAATTCGTACCTAGCCCAGTTAAGTGTGGACAAATTCATACCCACTCCATATTCACAACGGATTTTAATTTCACAATTCATACCTGCCCCGTTAAGAGATGAGTGTACTCATACCCGTGGAACCAACCCTTCTAATTGATTACTATTCAAGCCGAGACTCCTCAAATTGTTGCTCTTTGAGAAATTGGCTGGAATTGAACCATGAAAATGATTCATTCGCAAATCTAGCAATATGAGCTCATTGCCCAAACATTGTGGAATTACATTGCTCAAGCTGTTATTGGACAGATCAAGAAGTCTAAGCGAAATCAAGTTGCAAATGGCAGATGGTATTTCTCCATTCAATTCATATGAGGCTAAGCTTAGAGCGAGTAATCGAGTCAAGCTTCCTAGCTGTGCTGGGATTTCACCAGAAATTTTATTTCCAGCCAGTTGTAAGAATGTGAGATTTGCACATTCTGACCACTTGGATGAAAGTTGGCCGGAAAATTTGTTGCTGCTAAGATCATATTGAATATTAAGTTTAGACACAGTATCAGGCAACTTTCCATTCAATTGGTTAGTAATAAGATTAAGACTAAGCAGAAATGCTAAATTAATTGTTGGAAGAATTGGACCTGTGAGCTGATTTATTGAAAGGTCCAGTTGCAGCAAGTGTGCAGGCCGGCCTTGAGATTGAAAAAATCTCGAGATGCCCTAGGCGAACTTTAATGTGAGGCCCTTTACACATGAAGTTTCACACGCACAAAAATAAATGTCTATTTTTTGAATCCTTAGGAAAATTTTCAAGTTTAGCATCTCTTGGAGGACCTCCTTCAACTAATAAATCTCTCATTTTTTTATCAATATTTTTCCAATTTCCTGGATCATTAATGTTCAAAGGAAGATTATCATTCTCATTCATATATTCTTCATTTACCAAATCCTCAAGTTCATTCACATTTTCTTCATTTTGATTCTCATTCCTATCTTCATTCATTAAATCTCCATGTTCATTAAGATTTTCTTCATTCCTATGTTCTTCATTCACCAAATCTTTAACTAAATTCTCTGTTTGTGTATTGTTCCTAAAAAGCTTATGAATAGCGTCTTTTTGAGATTGAATCAATTTTTCTTCTCTCTTCTTTTCTTTTCTTTTTGTCATGCCCAGATTCAAATTTTCTTGTAGACATAAATGACCAAAAAAAAAAAAAAACCAGAAATAGAAGTTATAGAATTAAAATATATATATATTTGTTTTGCTGAAATAAAATGTAGATTACCTCAAAATACAATGCAATAAATATCACACTATAATACCTTTTACTGTAATCAGCCTCTTCACACTAACACTCAAATCAAGCTCCTCCAAGTTGCTCAAAGCACAAAAGTCTACAAAAAATGAAAATTTTGTTGTTTATATATTACTAAATTTTGTTACTTTCTATTGTACTTTGTTTCATATACAATTGGGTGCCCATATTAATTGACAGATTTATGCTTTATGCGGTTAACATCCAATTTATTATTAGCATGAAAAAAACTGGAACAAAATATATTTATATATATATATATATATATATATATATATATATATATATATATATATATTGAGTAATTGAAGAAATGACTTACCTGAAGTGATGAAAGCACTCTAAAAGATGGTAGGACCGTAGGATGCTGTAATTGATGATAAGGGCCCCTGGCTTGTTCAAGACTCAAGTTCAACCCAAATTTACCAATTAGTCTTTCAAATCTTGCAAAGGGAGATCCTGTTTCAGTCATTATCTTCACAAATATTTATAACTAAAATTCATAAAATAAAATTATATAAAAAAGATCATAAAAAATGTCACCAAATAGAATTTAGTTTGCAAAACAAGAATTACAGACCTTGATTAGTTGATTTAGAAAAAAAAAAAATTAAAATTAAAACAAAACCCATACATATAAGTTAGCAGTTGCAGAGAGAGAGGGGGGCAAGCTTGAGAGTTGAGAGTGAGCGGCTGAAGCTTGTGAACGGCGAACCCGAAGTGGAACAGGGGGCGATGGAGACTGAAAGATATGGGTTTTGATTTTTTCAACAATCTAAAATGATATGCCGATATGGGTTTTGATATAGGTAATAGGTTTTGAACTTTTGATTCTTGCAGACAGATAGATAAACTGAAGTATATGGGTTTTGAACTTCTGATTCTTGTAGATTTTGTAGTTTGCAGTTGCAGAGACAAAGATAGGGCAAGTTCAGAGTTGAGAACGAGAATAGAGATGGAGGCAATTGGGGAGGCTGAAATAATTTGCCCTAAATTTTTTTTTTTTTTTTTTTTTTTTTTTTTTTAATTATCAAGTACACTGTACCCTCATAATATGCAACCCAAAACTGAATATTACTACCTTTTGTTATATTTGTTTCAGATGTGAATTTAAGCCAAATTCAGGTTTTGAGAATTGCTGATTGGTGTCTGCAGAATGTAAAATATCTCTTATCTTCAATGTATTGGAAACTCAATTTTGCTGAAACGATTTTCAGAGTTACATTAGGCTTGTTGGATTTTACATCTATATATATATATATATATATATATATACATGTTTAATGTAGGTGACTACTGCTATTAGGGTGACTGCAAGTTGCCCAGCCAAAGAAGCATGGTGGCCAAACGTGACACAAGGCGATTTTACATCTTCAGTGTCTTAGAAAATCAATTTTTCTGAAACCATTTTCAGAGTTACATTGAGCTTGTTGGATTTTACATCTATATATATACATGTTTAATGTAGGTGACTACTACTACTAGGGTGACTGCAAGTTGCCCAGCCAAAGAAGCATGGTGGCCAAACGTGACACAAGGCGATGCAGTCTCTTTAAAATTAAATGTAATGACATGCATATTTGTTATGTCTTTTGAGTTTATTCATGTATCTAGCATTAATTATGGCTCAAATAATAGGTATTTTGTGAGTAAGGAATGATGTCATGATGATGTCATCTTTATATATAAAACATTCAATACATTCGACTTTTGAAATACCTATCATAATTCTTTGGTTCAACACAAAAAAATGAATTAATGAGTTGAGATCCACTGCAGTATAAGTCCCATATTGGTGATGGAACTGGGATTGTATGATGAAATGAATTCCTGATTAGAGTAAGTTGGTGATGGAATTGGGATTGTATGTATATGTTACACCACTTAGGTTACTTTATCTTTTAAGATTATGGCATGATATTAGGGAAACAAATATTCAATTTGACATTAGTGACTGAATTATATATACATATAAAATTTTATGAAAAGACTATTCAATGAAAGTGGAGGGAGATTCTTCGATTCATATCCTTCAATCCACCCTACAATTTCATAAGTTTAAAAGTTTGTTTGGGCATTTTAATCAGTTTGACTTATTTTTCTTTTGTTTATAATTTACTTGAAACAAGATAGTAGAAAAAAGATTGCCACATGTGTCCCTCAAATTCAATCAACCATGTCAGGAGACTCTAGGTAAGTACAGACTTTAATATTTTTGCATAACCACTCTCACCACTCCATCAATTAGCAGTTAAATCATAATGATAATTTTTAAATTAAAAAAATACTCTACACGAAGTAAAATTACTTACATGTCCTTATTGGCATTCCAAATGATCATTTGAATAAATTTGGTCGGACAAAAAAAAATTCCCCTTGCTTATACTCTATATATATACATATATATACTCCACTTTCTTTCTTTTCTAATCACAAATACATCTTTAGATTTTTTAAAATACAAATCCTTTGAAGTTGAAGCTAATTCTTTGTTACTACTAGTGCTCTTAACCATCCACTACAACTTATCAATTTTGTAAGCGTCAATGTCAAATTTCTAAAAAGACTGTTTTGATTTAATAAAATCACTACTTAAATTATCAATTCTAAGTTCAAGTGATTTATTAAACCTACTTACCTATTCAAGTTCCTTTTCTAGAAAATCAACCTTACGAAGAAGATTCAAATTTTTACGGCCAAGTTCTTCCAAATTTTTATTACAGACAGAAACTTTTAACTTATAAATATCTTTATCAAGTTCCGCAAGTTTCAACTTCTCCAACAAATTTTCAAAATCCTTTTTAAACTTAGACCATGCAATATGCATGCTTGTGACAGAATAAAAAGCAGGAGGTGATGATAACACATCAATAGAAGATGAATTATGAGAGATGATGCAAAAATCACAACAAATCAACAAGTATGATCTATACAATATATCGAGTAATCCGCTCTGAAACCAAAATTTTACGCGGTGCGAAAGTTGTTAGTTGATTTAGTTGTGATTAAATCCCTAAATGACTTAGATGAGATTATTAGGTCAAAAATTTTATTATTGATACAAAATCAAAAAGACTACAAAACCAAAAAAATTTATGATTAAATTCCTAAATGACCTAGATGAAATTATTAAGTCACTAATAAACTAAATTTTATTTAGTTTCAAATCTGAAAATGAAAAAAAGAAATATTTTTCATTTTCTTTAAGGACGAGAAAAACCAAAAAGACTAAAAAACTGAAAATTCCTTTAGGGTTAGCTAATTGTAATATTTAATAATTTAAAAAACAATTACAATAATTTAAATTTGAAAACATAAAATACAAACATTAAGAGTCTTTTTGGTAACAAGTTCTATTTTGCATTTTGATTATTTTTATTTTTTGTAGTGTGGTTTATTCCCAAATAAAAACATGTTTGGTATTTGTTGCAAAATGTTTCAAATTATTTTTTAAAATTGTATTTACTATTTTTATTTCTCTTATTCTTATTTAAATTTATTACTGTAATTTTATGAACTCAATAGTTTTCTCAGTTGTAAGTTGTAACTTATTCTACTAAAAAAAATGTGAATATAATTTAAATTCAATATTTTTTTACAAACATATATTTTTTTATTTATTTTTGGTTTAACCCATTATAATTACTAAACGTATTTCTGTTTTGAAATACTCCCTATCATAGCAGAAGCAGTAGCTAATTCTAAATCTGCCCAAGAGAGGACAAAAGTTGGTGCGGCAATTAGAGAAGGGAAAGAGGACAGGAGTCACATGACAGCCATCTTACGGTTGGCGCCACGAATATGCCCTTAGCGTAGGTCCCACGCCTACTAAAATGAACTGGAAATGATGATGGTATTTCCTCATTAACCATAATTTGGCACAAGCAGTACAAGCCTCCTGCTTCTCAAACGAAAAATAAAATCTCCTTCATCTTTACACACACTCATAGTTGGGGAAGGCTCTTACTTCTCAAAGAGAGCCTTGTGCCAAAAAAAAACCCTTAATTTGGCACTTTTAAGTATGAGCATAATTTAGAGATTGAAAAAGTTAATTATTACCTCAACCCACTAGAGGGGACCCTTAATTTTCGCGGGATTGAATGTGAAAATGCAAAAAATTATGAGGAAAAAGGGTATGGTTGCTGCTGTAGTGAGATTGGAGTGGACTTAGGGAGAGGAAAAAAAAAAAGGTACCTGCCATAGGTTATGGACTCGATCGCCATGAAAGACTCATGTAGAAAGGCACACATTCATTAAAATGCTAAGAGAACCATAATATATTCATTCAGCTTTTGATAGCCATTACACACGGTGACACACACACACACACACACACAAAAAAAAAAAAAAAACCCTAGTTTGGAAGCTACTTTTCACTATTGGAACAAAAGTAAAGGCCCGAATCAAACGAACCAAAGTTTGAACAAATCAAATGATGAGACGAAATAAAGAAAGAAACATATATAAAAGATCGATTCATGCAAAAGGAGAGAGAAGAGAGAAAGAGGATGAACATACCTTGTCACCTGAGGTGATAGCGGAAGCTGCGCCCTGCGGAGTGTCGAAGCAAATTGAGACATTGTGCCTTCTGAAACTTGCCCTAACTTTATTTTTTTTAATTTTTTTCCCATCCCTATAAGCCTAAAAATTTGAGGCCCAAGGCGACCAATTTTTTCCATCCTCTATGGGCCTCATGAGGCCCTCTAAAATTTGAGGTTCAAGGCGACCGCCTTGGGCCAAGGCCGGCCCTGCAGCCTTCACCCACCTCAAAGGAAAGGATAGGAACGTTGCTCATAAAGGACTCCGAGAGGTAACCACAATTCAAAACATTTTTCAAACTTTTTCAAAATTGTTATTTAAGAATTTGTTACTAATTCAAATTTTACCGTCACTTTAATAATTATAATAATTAATAAGTTCATATACCATGTTATTTTACTCATAATAAATAATTTGATGAGTCGTATTAAAAAATATAAACAAATGCATTATTTGTGGTGATTTAAAAATATTTATATATTAGAACAGTTGGTGGTTAACATGAATAACAGGGATTAATTTTTCTAGTAGGAGGAGGTGCTATGTTCGATACTTTAGCGGCCTGGAGTATCATTAAAGGCAATAATGGTCCCTCAATTTGAAGGAAATGGTGCAGACGATGTGCGTTGCGTATACATCAGGACGAGGTATGATCAAGTTCTCATACCGGAGCAGCAAGCCGCTATGATTAGGAAATGGCCACCGTCGGAGACCTATTTTGTGTAAAGTTATCACAGCCCACATTCCTCTGCCTTTTTATGCTCGCTGGGTTGCTAGCCAGAGTTGCAGGTTTCATTGAGTGTAACTGAACTTGGGTCAGCATATATATATATATATGAAAAGGCTGGTTGAAATAAGATGGTTTAGGCAGTGGAGTGGTGAGGCTATAGTGTTGGAATGTAACTTCAAAATAGATGAACAAAAACTGATGTGAATGGACAGGGACACGACTGGTAGAAGCAATAGTTTCATTAACTTGCCGTTTGTCTTGTATAATTCAATTAAATTTGTATAATAACAGATTAATTACCTTGACTAATTTAGTTGTGTTCTTAATTTGTGACTCTATTTTTGTATCAAAGAGTTAAATGTCAATACTATTTTGTTCCTTCTCTACAAACCAAACATAATATCATAAACCCTCTAAACGAAGTATACAAATTTTTGAAAAAGCACCCTAAACTATCTTTGTTTTTGCCAATTTCCACTTGAACTAAATTTTCTCAAATACTTGTTATCAATTTCATACAACCGAACATAAAAACCTTAAACACTATACAAAATTTTCGAAAAACACTCTAAACTACTTTTCGGGTCAATTTGGTTAATGTTTCTTGTGATTAAAATAGGGTTTGGACTAAATTATTACTATATGCCAACATGGTCACTGATTGTGGGTCAACTTTATATACTTTTACTCACTTATTAGTAAATGATTTTTCTATAATATTAAAAAGCTAGTAGGCTAGTACAGTATTGTATATGGAATATCATAAACTAGTATATGATTTTTCTATAATATTGCCGTTTGTCTTGTGGTACATGGAAATGATTGGTAGAAGCAATGTTGATCTGAAAATGGATTAATTTAAGAAAAATCCTAATACGCGGAAACGATCCGTCATTCTGCGGATCTGATTTTGTAATAACCCGGTCATTTTCCTCCTTTCCTTTTTTCGGCATTTTTCTTTTTCTTTTTTCCCATTTTCGTCTTTTTCCGGGTTTTCATTTTTGTTTGTATATTCTCACTTTTTGTGCTTGGATTTGATTCCAGATTTGCATACATCCGTAATATTTAATTTTCATGATATGTATATTTTTACTTTTGTAGAAAAGTATGCTAGATGTTTATTTTTTTTTTTTTATAAAGAGTATGGATACATAATTTTTTCGAAAACATTCTTGACTTTTGAGGTTTTAGTATAATTAAATAAAGTAATTATTTTTCGTCTTAAGGATCATTTTACAAGTTAATTTGAAATATATTTTGAAAAATGACCTTTTTGCAATTTTTGGAAAGTGTGACAAGTGTCATACTCCCATGGAGCTCTTGTTGGCATTGTGGTGGAACCACTTGGAAGCTTAGTGACTATTGTGACATTTTAAACAGCTTAAGACCACTTATGATGACACATAGAGGATGGAGATTCACCCATTTGTTGACCTATGATAGGAGCACTTGTTGGCATAGATGGTTGACAAGTGTAGGCTTAAGATCAAGCCTTGGATGAATGCTTGGATTAGTGACAAATGTACGCTCCAAATTTAGTCTTGCACTTAGTGTGTGTGAAGACCATGGTGTAGGATCACATAATGAGTGGAGGAGTACTAAATCTGCCACTCACCTCATTTCATTACATCTTTCTCACCCTTTTAGTCTCAAACCCTAACCTAGCCACCATTGAAGGAAAAGCTTGGCTTAGAGCTTTAAACTTCATTTAGGTCCCCTTCCATTCATTTTTAAACCAAAAGTTTGGAATACTTTAGCTTCCCCTTACTCTCCTCTACAAAACCCTAATTTGGTTTTCCATTTTTAGCTTGGTTGCTTTGGGTTATAGAGATTCAATTCTCTATTGAGGTAGGGGTGGTTGTATGTTTATCCTTTTTGAGTTTTATATATATTGGAACTTGATATATATTGATTACATGCCTTTTTTAATTCTTGTATTTGTATATAAATAGAGATTTGATATGTTTGACTTAGGATTTGTGATTTAAAGCATGTTATTAAATAGGTAGATTATTGTTTAATGACTTACCTAATACTTGAAATTTCATTGATGGTTTATTATGAATATATTGGTGATAATACTAACATTGTTAAGTAATAGAAATTTCATTGAAGGTTTAGTATGAAAATCTTGTATATGGCACTTGTTTTTACTTGTAAATAAATTACTATATTGCATGATTAGTAATTGCGACCTACATTGATAGTAAATTGTTTTAGTGTAATATGCAGTATCATTAACTTGCCATTTTAGACATGTAACCTTAGGACATTGGTTGTGTGGTTTCACCCTACTTGTGCTTGGTAAGTAGTTTCATGTCTTGTGATTATATAAATGTCATGAACTTGTTAATTTTTGGAAGCTTGTAAGGATATGAAATGTTTGAAAGTTAGGGTTTGCATCTACTTGTGGATTTGTGCTTAAGTTTCTATATGGTTAGTGTACTTGTGTATGCACACTTGGATGCCATGCGTTTATCATTTCAATTACTTGTATAGCTTGAGATGATCACTTAAAGTACCTTGAGAATATAGACGTTAGGTGGAATACACCCTTGTGATGATCTATGTTTGGTTTGTATTATACTTGAAACTATAGGGTATGCGCATGCACCACATCCTACGAGTAACTTGATTACTCACCCTAGTTGTTTGGGATATTTTTTAGGTAAAGAAGTATTTTTCATAGATGGTTGATACACTTAGCTTATTTTGGATGATATGTTACGGACACATTCTTTTGGTTATCATGCAAAGTGTTTAGCATGTGTTTTGTAGCATATTTGGTATCTATGGATTTATGAATTATGTTTTTGGACAATTGATATGTAATAAGGCTTCGAGCCATTATAAAATGATTCAATATGATATTTATGCTTGTTGGTATGCTCATTCGTTCATTCATCCTTAGAAATCAGTCTTCGACTTATTTATGGGGGTAGATGCAAAAAATTTCATGTTTATTAGAGTTTTCAACAGTTTTTGAGGTATTTCGGCAGACCAAAATAGCATTTCGGTCGACCGATTCCTTTTTGGATTTAATTGCACAATAAAAATCCAAATTCCAATAGCTAAACTTACTGTTTGGGGCACAACTGGTCGACCGAAGTAACTTCCAGGTTTTTGGTGAAACAGGGTTCATTCCAGCCGACCGAAATGGCATTACGGCTGACCGAAATGCCATAGTCACACATACCTTGCAGCTTGTATCTCGGCTTTGTTTCTCTAACTTCAAACGAGTGTATCTCCTTCGTTCTAAATCCAAATGTGGTGATTCTTAAGTCTAAACTCAAGAATTTTGAGTCAGCTTCCCAATGGTACCAATGACATTCTCAGATTCAAACCATAGTGAAGGTTATTCATGTTTTAGTGAGACAGTGTCAAATTTTACTTGAACCGAGAATGGGGATCTTATGGGATTCTTGAACAAGGTTCTTAGAACCTCTTGCAATGTTGTCATATGATTAAATTAAGTTGTGTGGACCACATTTGACTTGTTTAGAGTCAAATTTCCTTTTTCAATAGTAGTTTGACCATTGTACCCTTGATTTAAGGATTTGTCTGTTTTGACCCTCGTTTCTTCTTTAGTTCTCTTTGAGTTCCGTGACTTCATCGAAGATCACTTTGGCATCTTAAGGATAATGTATATCCCTAGAGACATCGGCTTTATCTTTTGTTTCAGCATTTCGGACCCATTACCTAGTCAACTTTCGGGTCATCACTGATGCACTGGTTTGTAAAACTAGGGTCGTCACAGATCCGTTATTTCACAGATCCGATCTAATCTGTTATCACACGGATTGGTGACGAATTCAAAAAATTTCAATCCGTTGGAAGTAGATTGGATTAGAATTGACACATAATCAAATTCGATCCGATATGTGACCACCCCTAGAAACTATAGACCCCACATCCAATAATATAAGAACGCGTGGTATGGGACTTATTAGATTCAAATTTATAAAAACCTTGGAGCTTGAAAAAAGAATTTAATGAATTTTTTTTGTCTACTCTTAAACTGACAAAGTGACAATGTTGTATAGTGCATTTCTTTAATTTATTATTGTACTCTTCAAACAACAGGATGGACTCCAAAAGCACGAGGCTAAGACTTTATATAAGCTTGACTAAATTAGAAGTAATTGTATAGTTCATTTCTTTAATTTATTGGTGTACTCTTCAAAGAACAGGGTGACATTGAAACTCACACACATCATCGATGTAGGATGGACTCCATTTTCACTTCAGTTCAATCTATTCACCGTGCGTGTGATTAATCTAGTTTAATTTTTATGTCAACAATTTAATTTGTTTAAATTATTAATTGTAACTAAATATATATACCTCAAAATACTATATGGATCGAGTGTTCCATCATCTTTGTGAATGAATTGGAACATTTATGAGTATGTGACAAATAAAAGTTAGCTAAATAATGTAATTGATGAGTGGGTAGATG